CCCCCCTCCCCTCCCTCATCCTCACGCGCCCCTCGTCACGTCCACTGTCCCACTTGCTCGCAACGCTTGTGTGCTTCACCCGACAACTCGCTTCTTCTCTTAATCAAGGGAAAAGTGCGTCGCCTGCTTTACGTCCGAGTTTTTATCGTCCCTTATTTTTCCCTTTTTTGAAACGCTTCTACTCCTCCTCGTTTCTTACTTCACATTCTTTTACCGTTCAATTCTGATGAGCCTCACTCGCGTTGACATTTCCCCCCCCCCTTTTTTTTTCGGGCTACTACGGAAATTACTGTATTCCATGGCAATACGCGTCTAACTTAAAAATTAATTTTATTATTAAGTGTACATCTACCTACATTTTCATTAGTATTTATTACCATCGTTTGAAAACACATTAACCATCCTTAATTGATGTAAATCCTGAAATTATCAAATTCGTTCAATCGATATTATATTTCGAATTTCACGTACATTTTCATATACGAGCAATCATTACAATTAATTACAATTAATTTTCATTGATGTTTCGTCGAAAATAAATAAAGAGTTACAACGAATGTTAACGGGTGATAAAATTGTGCTTGAAATAAGTAGAAAAAAAAAACACTTGTTAACAATAAAAAAAAAGCAGAAGAAAAATAATGAAAAAGAAAAAGAGTATACAACGCTGACAAATTGTATATAATTGCATCTAGAAATATTATAATCGTTCGCCGTTGTTAATATTTTTTTTTCCTTTTCAATCTCTCCCTCTCTCCCTCTCTTTTTAAAGAAATTACACCCTATGATAATTTAAGGTATTATAATACTTTATTATAAAATCTAAAGAATCCAATGTCGGACGAATATGATTATAAACAATTGCATGTATCGCGTTTCAACTCAGTCTATCTATAAAATCTTCCTTAAAAATATTTCCAATTAAGAACAAGATGAATTATCAATAATTATATTCTTAATTTATAAAATATATCGTCCAATCCAACTTACGGTCATCAAGATCAAAATAATATAAGCGCGGCACTTTGAATGTTCATAATCTTTTGAAAATATTACCTCGTGATGTTATTAAGTCTCGCTGAAATGAATTATTTTAATGAAGATCGCTTAGGACAGATTTTCAATTTCCCGACGTTTCATTCTCTTGCATATGGGATACTCTCATCCACACCTAGCGATCAATAATTAACGGTTGTCACTTTATTTCATAAATACACACAGGCCCGCACGCAGACAGACTTATGTCGCGCTTTTTGTGTCGACCCGAGCTAGCGTCCCGCTTATTTTCCGCACCCTTATTTTGCGCGAAAATTTGCTCGGCCCCGTCTCTTAGTATAGAGAGAGAGAGAGAGAGAGAGAGAGAGAGAGAGAGAGAGAAGGAGAGAGAGAGAGAGAAAGAGAGACGAATGGAAGGGCTCCGCCCTATTTGAAACGAACTTTAGCTAGATGGAGAAATAGAAAGACATTGTGAGATAGAGTGCGGCCGAGGGAGGGAGAAGGAGATACCGCGCCAAGGCTGCTGCTTTCATATAGGCGAGCAGAGAGATTATGCCGAAATGCATAAATTATCAAAGGGCCACCGGTGCCTGGCCTCCCCGGAGGAAACCTAGCCCTCGTGGATCCTAGCTTATTCTTTTTCTTACTCTCTCCCTCGCTCCCGTGAATATGCAATGCACCAGTTCGTCTATATGCCCGTGTAGATGCGACTTTGCGCCTCCCCCACACCCGCCCCGTTTTATCGAGACTTCAAACCACTCTGTCCATTTGCAAGTTTTATTATTATTACAATCATTTTCTTCCTGTTGATTTTTTTAATTTTATTTCCGCGGCACGAAAAATTCTATCTAATTGCTAAGTAATTTTTGGGGACAAATGCGCCGCAATGCCCATTTTCGTTTTTACTAATATGCAAATGCAGCTAAGTTGACATGAAGAATATATTAATTCGTTTGTTTATTTAATCGTTTGAGCAAATTAAATTACTGTATATTAACAACTAAAAATTAATTGTCATATAATTGAGAAACAATTTTACCCGACAAATTACTATATCACTGCTTTAAATTTTGTAAATTAACATTAAATTTGAATTCCGCTATACTAGCGGATTTGCCGAAATGTATTTGAGTTTTCTATTTTAATTCCATTATTATAATTAAGAAGTATGTAAAAATACGAGTGACCAATCGTCTGATTAAGTGACGATCGTTTATTTTCATTTGTGTAATTTATATTACGTTCTATCAGTCGGCACAGCTTAATTTCAATTAAATATATCTTCCTAATATAGAATTTTAACTTTAATTAAACTCGTACTTCAAACTACGGAGAGATGTTTATATCGAATTAAAGTACTCTTTCAATCATACCAATTACCATTTGTGCATTATTTATATCTGTCGCTCTATTATAGTTGAATAAACATCGTCATGTCATTTATTTCTAGAAATTATGTATTTTAATTACAAATATTTTTAGGGAATTCGTATTAAATTAGGATTTTGAAATTAGTCTAAAATTATGATGATTACCGCATTTTTATATGAATATATCTATAATCAATTAATACGTATAATATGAAAATTCGTATTATAGGCATTTGTAAACGTTTATGACATGAATTTTACTTTATTCTATAATAATAATTTCATTTTTAATCTTTTTAATAATTTATTATATTAATTTCCAATACGTACACAGATTTTTACATGAAATTCGCATTTAGATTTCACTCTCTCTCTCTCTCTCTCTCTCTCTCTCTCTCTCTCTCTTATTTACACACTCACAGGCAACAGAAGACGAATAAAGCGAGAGAGAGAGAGAGAGAGAGAGAGAGATATATCAATTTAAAAATTCTTCTATCGATGCCCTATATAATATAATTGACTGCATTGCATAAATGAGGCTTACTTTAAATATTCGATATAAATAAGTTCATTTCTGGACGTCGTCCGCTATACGTAAAACAGTAAAGTATAAATATCATTTCAGATATAATTTATAATTGCTGGTAATGTATTGGTGTATTATTAAACGGGCTTGAATTACAATACAATTGACCTTATTAAACATTTTTAAGTATTCGCAAAATGTGTCAGATGTGCTTCGAAGCCCTTGAATAAATTTCATTAAAAATGAAGCTACGGATATTTTCCAAAACAGTATGACGTATTTATAAAAATGCATATATAATTGTAATTTCATTCGAACACTCGATTTTACGTAGAAACTACATATTATCCTATAACAACAAGAAGAAAATGATTATATTAGAGTAGAATACAAATAGCCCATGTTTATCGCCCGAAACTTACTTGCTCTCGCTTAAAGCCATTTAGTACAAATAATAAATAAATAGCCGAGATATGTAATGGCATTATCTCTCTAAATCTATAAATAAATGAGAGCGATTGCCGAGGAGGTGCAAGCGCACATGGAGCAAGCCTCGATAGTACATTGTGCAATAAGCCTTTTCCCCTTTCTGTCATTAGCCTACTGCTCGAGCCACACGGACCTGGAAAAGGTCTGCCAGGAGCTCAGATCCGACGAGAATCTCAACTCGATGTTCAGGCTGGACTCGAAGCCAATCTCCTGCCCCTTCGTCGGGCCACCGTTCAGCTTCAGCTACAATCGGGGCCACGGCGAGTGCAAGGCCCTGGAGAATCAGGCCGAGAGCTGCATCGACGATAGCAAGCTTCTGCTGAAGTATCAGGCCTGCGCGGACATACAGGGGGCCGAGAGCAGCAGTGAGTAATAGTCATCCGAGTCATTCTAAGCTTTAGGAACATTTAGGAGCAGTGAGGGGATTTGGGTTCGGGATGGGAGTGACAGGTGGGCGCGTCATTATCTTCATTGCTCATTGACGGTTTAATAATCTCGTAAATTCGAGCTCTTCACACGCATCTAGTCGAATTCATTACGTGGGATCATTACTTGATATTTGGGTGGTTGCGATTGGGTATCATCGGCATTGAGTCGACAGTTTTCTCAATTCCCTAGTCAGTGTCGTTAAGTAGCACGTTCGTGTCATTGTGCATTACAGCTGAATTCCCGTATGTTCTCGGGGCTGACGATTGAGCAGTTTGATGTGCTACTTCAATGCCAAATTAAATAATTATAAAGCTCGTCCTTGTAATCGAGTACGATCCTCGTGATATCCGTATTAAATTCACGTACCATTCGATAAGCGGCTACGACACAACATCGCATAATTTTAATTTTTGTTTTGCCCAATGAATCGATGGCAATTAACGATTTGTTTTATTATTGTTAACGTATCGAGCATGAAGACGAACACGGTTGAGCGACAGAATTTAAAAATTGTTTTCCTCTTCGCTCTAAGGGGATAAAGTATCGCGCGACAATAAAAAATTCTGTTAGAAGGAGGCCTTTGATGCAAAAAAAACAAAAAAAGCCCCGAGTCAAAATTATACAAAAATGTTCAGTATTTCGACATTTTTTAATTCCACGAAATTTCTATACGTATCCTGTACTACCTTGCTTAATGAAATTCCTCCCTGATTAAATACCTGTGAAAAAGATGACCGCACAATGTTAAGAAAATAACATTGTCCTACAGCTTTGTACGTCAATGTTACACATATTCTTATTGAAATATTTTGTTAACTGTTTTTTTTTTTTTTTTTTTTTTTTTTTTTTTTTTTTTTTTTTTTTTCGTTTCAAACATAGCTCGATCTAAGCCACCGCGTGCCATTTATATATAGAAAAAAATGAAGATAATAATAATAATGATAATAATTAAATAAGAAAATCAAGACTACTTTTAACATTTACGTGTACTTCACTGTCGACTAAAGATTACATCCGCTAAACCATAAAATTACTTATTACAAGAAAATTCTTTCAAATTTCAAATACGCCAACTATGTATCTTAGCCATTTATCATTAAAAATATCAATATTATTTAGAGGTTTCTCCATGAAATATTTCAATAATAAATACTAAATAGGCTTCAATTTTTATAAACGAGTAAGAATAATTGCATAATTTTTACATATTTTTCTCACCTGATAAGCGAATAATTATAAAACTGAAAATCAATATTGTTAAAAAAAAAAAAATTTGCTTTTGTAGTACAAATAATACGGAAACCGTGAGCGGAAAAATAGAATGAAATGTCTCTGCATTAAGGAAAATAGGTCGTTTGCTCTAATCCAATTTACTGCTACACCTCTATGTGTACACCCCCTACCCTGCACCGCCACGCCCCTACAGCTACTATTACTCTCCTTCGCTGTGATCTCATTCGGACTCTCACACACTTTCATTTATCTATTTTTCATTTTTCTCTTTCGAATTTGACATCTGGCAATTAAGATTGCAGTTAGGTGTGAAGCAAGATCTTCCACCTATCTTTTTCGAGCACGGGGAAAACTTGTATAATCTCAATTATTTTTCCAATTTCAGTCTTTCGTTCTTGCTTTTGGAGCAGTGTTTTCAAAGGAAAAAGTAATAATAAACTTGAATTGAAGGCTCCACTATTTACCACTTCAAAGATACTTGTGCATTGAATGATAAAATATTTTAAAATAAAATCCTAAAGAGGGTGAGTGAGCGAGCGAGCGAGACAGACCGACAGAGAGACAGAGAACTTCTTTTCGCACATAAATATAAAGTAAAAGTCTGTAATATAATACTGAATTTGATTTGAATAGCTAAATGTTAAGTGTGAAGGACGCGTCGCTTATAGGAACGTTTATAAAATTTCTTCTATTAAGAATAGATTTTTATTCGAATTATTTAAAAAATTGTACATAATTTCTAAATGTCAAAGAATCGCCTATTAATGTTCACTAAAGCAATATTATCCGAGTTATATGATTATTATTATTATTATTATTATTATTATTATTATTATTATTATTATTATTATTATTATTAGCACACTATTTGTATTTATTAACTAATGCTATGATTTATTTAACGAATAGAAGAAATTTATTAATATTAGATTCATAAAAACAAAAGTATTTGAATTTATTTGATATGAAAGCATGATTTACTGTTACATAGTCAGAATTAATTATATTATTCGAAAAATGATTTTATTTGCAAATTTATGTTATCTACGACATATATTTTCTGTAGAATAAACTGAACATTTGATTACAGTAATAAGAATAGTTAAGCTTCCGTACGAGAAAGCACATAATTTCTGAATGCAAAAGCTTGTTACAGCAGTTTTATGATGGATAAATGAACATAGAAATGTGTCGTCTTGGATAAAAAAAAAAAAAAAAAAAAAAAAAAAAAAAAAAAAAAATTACTACTTTGGGTCATCCATGAGACGTTCGTATTTCTGGAAATAGCTCTAAATTAAAAGTGTAAGATAGAGAAAGAACGTGTAAGAATAACGAGAAGTGAAAAGGGCATGCGTATAGGAGCACGAGGAAGGTAAAAGTGCCGTGGGGGGTCAGTCAGTCTCAAGGCTTCTGTGGATCGTAGCTTAATAAAACTGTGTTTAAAACTATGTAGTCTTTTCTCTCTCTCTCTCTCTCTCTCTCTCTCTCTTACTCTTACTCTCTCACTCTACCTGTCAGCCACTTCCTTCATCAGTCACTAGCGCCGCTCTACTCTTCTCGCAAGTCTTCTAAATCAATTATCAAAGTAATTCGATTACCGCTTCCTTTGCGTCTCCCATTAAAAACCGACACGATTTCTCCTTCACTCATTGTCGCAACGCGTTGTAACTTAATGCCGCCACTATTCTTACGTCGGCTTGTCTTATTTTATTTATTTATTTTTTTTTTTTTTTTTTCACAGCCGAGGAGCTGCAGTGCCTGGCGACATGGAAGGAAGGTCGTAACATGTATTTGCTCGGGACGCTGAAATTGGTTGGCAGGGCACAGGCCAGCGAGGAGACATTCAGGTATCGTCGTCATACATTTAAATTACAACTATTACAAATGTATCAGGGTTTTTTTTTTCTTTTTTCTTATTTTTGTTATTTCGACATTAATTTTCCTCTGCCGAGAGCAGTTGGTCGAGATCGAGAAAATTAGCGAACGAGGATGAATAGGGTGATGGGAAGAACGTGGAGACGATCGGCTTTTCTAGAAAAGTATTAGAAACAAATTTTTTGTTTCACGATACGTATGAGAAATTGTATGCTTTTTGGCAATTTTTCATTATCTAGAAGAGACGATGATTGTAAAGCATCGATAATATCCTTTTTCACATTATTCATTTATTGGCTTTTCTTTTTTATAATGGCCTGTGTATGTGTAATTGAAGCCATATTGTCCGAGCTTATGAGATAAAATATAAAAGCTCATTATTAGTAGTTCGTATTTCAATGATTGAATACAAAATTGAATTTTGCAAAAAAAATCTCATCTGTTAATTAATGACACCGATATGTTAAAGTACTTTTACAATATTTTTCAGTTTAATTATCATATAATTTTGTTGAGAGATATGTGCCAGTGAAACAGTTGAGTTTCGATGGTAATTGAGTAAAGCGAAAAATAAATATTATATTCCGGAATATGAAAAAAGATGGAAAAACAGAAAGAAAAAGGAATTAAACTGTTTTACTTATAATTTTGATTGTATTCTTATCAATGCTATTCAGTCGTAATAATATTAATAATATTTCTATCTGCGTTAGAGATAAAAGAAATTGAGAAAAATATCTTTGGCTCGTCCAAGTGGACACTTACAGTCGTCCGTAAAAATTATATAAAATAATATATTTTTCTTTGATAAGCAATAGCTAAATCATCGATCGAGCGTCGATATCGCAAAGCGGCACGATCGTTGTGGATATTAGAACGAGTTGGCCAGCGATTGCCAAATGTAGGACAACAAAGGAGAACGAGAGAGAAAAGAAGGGCACGATAAGTGCGGTCGTGGATAGGATAATTTTCCCGGACGATCGAGCTCGATGAAAAAAAAAAAATGCCGCCAAGCTTTGCAAATGTAAAAATCGATACAAGAGAATATGCTCGTGTAATTGAAACGTGCGGAGCTGGCGAACGTTTGCGGAATGGTTTCGAGGTACGAAGCATGTCGATAGAGAAGACGGCACTTTCACGATAGATGTAGAAGTAACGAGAGATCGGTTAATAAAAGAGTTTTAACCCATGCTCGCTTACGTATGTTGCGTGCGTGCGTGCGTGCGTGCGTGCGTGCGTGCGTGCGTGCATCTGCGTGTATGTATGGCTGGTGTGAGAGGGAGAGGGAGGGGGGCAGAGAGACAGAGGGAGGGGGGGGGGAGAGACAGAGAGAGAGAGAGAGAGAGACAGAGAGAGAGAGAGAGATATATATATATGAGATAAGATGAGATTACAAGGATCGGAGGAAGTTAGAGAGGGCGCTGATGATGTTTCATCTAGGGCGAGGGATTAACAGGGATGCACTTACGCGTGTACAGGCGGGCTTTGCAATTTTTATCGCTTAAAGTTCTCACGATCGGCTAATTGCCGAGCGGCTTTTTCAACCGTATCCGAGGACGGCCGAGCACGGTCTCGAGCAGCTGAGAAATATCGCCGAAGAAAGATTAGTAGGGCTCGATTTGACGAAGGACCGTACGCGCGTTCAATCGGCATTGATCCCTAGAGCCCTCGAGGTTGCGGGGCAAAAGGAGTATGGGACAGTCGGGCGGCAGCGAATTACATGCTCATGAGCAAATGAGAGGAAAGAGACGGGAGCTCATCATTCGGCAAATTGCCCGGAGCGTGTATGAGGAGCCGCACCGCGTAATTGATAAATAAATTAATCAGCGAGGCAACCGCCCGCTGCTCTCTACCATTCGTATGTCGTGCCGAGATCATGAGAAAGCTCACGCGATATGGCGTCCCTCGCCTCGTAAGAAGCTCTTCCGTTGCGTAGCACCAGGTACCGAGGGTACGCTCCCGAGCCACCCGATGATGATACGACGCCAGTCCCTTGTAAGTTGCAAGTTCGAGTCCTCGGCTCGACTTCGTTCGTCTGCTTTAACGATGTGGTTGTCCAATCGTTGGCCGGTCAATCTTGATTGATATTTCACGAGCAAACGAGCAAAGTAAAATATTATCGTCGGGTAGGAGTGAGAGTGTGACCGAGGAGTATCGACGTTTCAAGCGACATTTTAGGTAAAAATGGTTGGATAAAAGCATCGCGTCTCGTATTGACCGGCGGTCATATATAAAGCTCACGTCACATTAACCGAGGTCCTTCTCGATTAATTAATTAGTGCGACGGTGATATTTCTACATGTAATTTTGGGCGTTTGCGTGACTTTGGTCAAAAGTGGCAAAGCCCATAAAGAAAAAATTAAGAAAGAAATATGCGATTGATTATGAATGGAAATTGTTATGAATTTCAGATGCTTCTTGTACGAGAAAATCCATAAAGAGGGAAAAATTGAATATTACATTTCCGAGTCCGGCGATCCGAGCTGCAATGGCTTGACTTCGATTACCGAGGGCGCGCGAAATTTCAATTTTACAAAAGGTTTGTTTTTGTTTTCTCTCCCTCCGACGAGGGCCCTATCGATTTTGTCCTAACAGCAACCACTCGTACGTAGAATTATCGACGAATGGTAATTTTAAAAAAGGAAATTTTAACGCAATGTCTTATGTGCACAGAGGAAAAGGAGCACGTTAGGTGCAAATATCCGTCGTGGGTGACGCAACACCACGATTGGCACTTCCTAGATGGTTCGAGGAACTATCACTTCACCAAAGGTAACTCGATGCTGAAGGTGACATTTAACGATGAGATGAAAAGCGATGAGAAGGTTGTCTGTCACAATCTTGAAAAGATGCATCCGAATGACGATATGCAGGGATCAAAAGTCAAACTCGTCGCTCACGTCGCCAGCGGATGGTGAGTTTTATCTCAATTTTAGAGCGTTTACTCTGCGCTAAGTACTCAAAAGGCCGAGATTTTAGAAGGATTCTAGTCAAGATGGCACTATGTAATTTAATTGAAAGCGTTGAATAAATTTACGGAGTTTCATCATGTTAAGTAAATGCGCTTTAGAATACGAGTGAAGTTGAATTTGAGGTGGGAGGAGGGGGGGGGATTCCTTTTGTTGTATAGTTATTCAAATTATTCTATATAAAATGCCTCCTTCTAAAGAGTATTATAATTATTTGTATATTCATGCTAACGACGCATGGAATTTTCTATCAATCTTTCTTTCGCCCTCGCCCTCGCCCCCCCCCGCCCCCCGTCCCCCGCCATCGTAAACCGCTCCACCCAGCCCCGCTCTCCCATCCTTTTCATTTCGAACCGTTTGTTTATGACGAAATTTAGTTTTCTTCCGTCCCTGGCCCATGCAGTCAATATGTTAAAATAACAAAAAAGTTCATATTTTACTCGATTATGGGTCAGTGGCTGCTTTGCATGTATTTTACCTTAATCACAACTATACGGAAATACGATTATTTATCCGTACGTTAACGCGAAAAATATTATTTGCTGTCATTTTTTTTTTTTTTTTTTTTTTATTTTAAACATTTACTGGGTTAATTTCTTATTGATTAAATTATCATAATGAGATTTTTTTCCATTCGTTGTCACGACTGGTCGATTGAATTTATTAAAGTGATAGTACTCGTTGGAAAGAAACGAATTGTATTTTAATCTTAAATTTCACAACTCGGAGCGTAATAAATTATTTACACCGTTAACGATGATTGTCAAATTTGAAAGAGAGATTAGATCGATAGATAGATAGAATTGGTAGATAGGTAGGTAGGTAGGTAGGTAGGTGCGTAGGTAGAGAGAGAGATAATGAAATTAGACATAATTATCAAATCCTTTATTTAAATTTATCTACTCCTTTACAGCCCAACTAATTATTCGAAATCTTATTAAAATCTCACCGCTAGAGAGTCCTTGGCAAAAGCGCCACTATAAATACATTACATATGGCTTTGTTAAAAAAAAGAAAAAACAAAAAAACAAAAAAAAAAAAAAACCGCGAACGAGGAGAGCCGAACGCTTAAAATCTTTCCTTAAATCTCCTTGGATAATACGAGGTCCGCTCGAAGAGACCCCATAGGCCAAATGTCTTTGATATAATAGAGACGTTCATGTTCGAACGTTTATGTTCAATTACAGTGACACCGGCTACGTCTGCATGATCTTTCACAAACGAGACGGACACGTTATCGAGGTTCAGCAATCGAGTAAGTCAAACTCAAATTTTACCAATTCCCACAATATTGTCGAGCTTTCGCTCGCCGCCATTATTATTTAGCAAAAACATTCAACTCATTCAATCAGCCGCCCCCTTTAATTACATTTAATTTCATTTCCATTGTCCTGGTTTCGTAGGTCAGAAGTCGATTATGCCTCACGAAGCCTGTTCGCTCGATGATCCATCCAAGCAGCCCTTCTCCACGCTCATAAGTAAGTCGTATCGATTAATAATATTCTCCTCCTTATTATCCCCTTAAATTACGTAAGACGCGAGAGTTGCACGTATCGATAGTCCGAATCGGCAATAAATAGTATCGTTAAACACATCGTGTGTGCGCGCGCGCGCGCGCGCGTGCGTGCGTGCGTGCGTGCGTGCGTGCGTGTGTGTGTTTTTCTCATCGAGATCCTTTTACAAACGCATCGACTGACCCGCTTCTACGTCCCATCGAGATCCTTTTACAAACGCATCGACTGACCCGCTTCTACGTCCCCAGCGTCCACGCTGCACAAGAGGTCGTGCCCGAAACCGGGCCGCTACACGGTCCTCGACCTCGTCTCCTCGCCACAGTTGAGAATGCCAAGGCGGCAGCGACGCTTCGCCAAGGCCCTCAGACTCTCGGAGCGCGCGTGGAAGGAGGAGAGCAACGAGGCCGCCGAGGGGCCGGCCGACGACTGCCAGAACGCCGACGTGCAGATCGGCTGCACCTCCAGTGGCCAAAACGAGATGATCATCCAGGAGTCGTGCGACAGGAGGAGGAACGACATAGGTAAGCGAGAGAGGCCGAATAGCTGATTGTAGTATGAGTTTGGCGGAGGGGCGGGGGTTTGGGGGCGCCCTTAGGGATCCGAGCGATTAATTCAGCCAAAGTTTCAGCGTACTCGTGCCACGGAAGCTGGGAGGAGGAGGGCACCTGGTACACGATAGTCTCGCGGAACAGGAGCGTCACGGAGAAGGAGACGCTGTGCGTCTCGATGCGGCTGAGCGAAAGCACGAGGGAGCTGCCGGGGAAGGTCGGCGGCAGGGTCGAGCAGCAGGAACTGTGGCTCTCGAGGCCCCGTAACTTTTGTCAGCGCGGTACGCCCGACCAATGGACCTACAAGCTGGCCAATCAAGGTGCGTATTCGACTTTCGGGGAGTTTTGCCCGGGCGCGTTATTTATTATGTCAGTGACATTTCCACACGGCGTTCTTCCAATTTTTAACAGCGCTTTATTCGCTCGGAGGGCAAATTAATCGCGCAATCTATTTAATTGAAAGTTGGATATGTCGGAGCCGCGCTCGAAGCTTAAAGGGCAATCGAATTCTCATTGGAACGCGAATTAACCATTAGCCATTATAAGTCGGAATAAATCGGAATAAATAAAGAATCGATTATTAAGATACGTTATTTGGCCCTTTTTCGCTCAACTTTTTATCTTTCTCTCCTCCATTCTTTGCTGCTTTTTTTTTCATCCTTTTTTTTTTTCTTTTTTTTTCTTTTTTTCTTTTTCTTTTTTTTTTTTAACGCAACGTCAATTAAATTTAAAATTTTCTTAAATATTCTCAGCTCTGAAATTTCATTGGCATTGGCATTGATTATTATTGAACTTGTTGATTGAGCGATTTGAACGAGGCTTGGACTCGCGTCGATTGACTGTTGTAGAAATTTAGACGGAAGTCAGTTTGCAGTCGTTGCGATACTTGGATAGTGAGTCATTAAATTGATCGTCTCGTTGATTTGAATAACGACTAGGTAATCCGCTCCAATTAAAGCAGAAGACGAATAAGTAGACTTTTTAAATTGAAGAGCAAGCCCGAAGGAGATAGACTCGATAAGCTTAGGGTGAATAAATAGAAAAAGTTACGTTTAAAATTCGGCCGCTTTAAGGCAGCCATAGCCCAAAGAGTCAAGCCGCAATCCCGATATTACGTAGTTAGATGAAAATAAATAGTGTCTCGGGGGGGGGGGGGTTAGACGGCAGAAGAAAAAAAAGATAGAAGGGAGGAGAGCGTATTTCAGCTCTGAATTGTGGAGCGGCCAGCAAAGACGAAGGAGCAAAATAATTGATGAAAAATAGAATAGGATATTAATAATCAATTCCTGTCCTTCTTATTATTGCAGGTGTGTGCGAGGATCTAATGAGAGCAGCCTCGAGTTCCGCATCGTCATCGTCCCTGATGAGGGTCTCCGTCATCCTGTCAATTGGTGTGACAGTGCTGTGCAGCATCTTGTCGAGATGATGTGTGTACGTTGCCCTGAGATGAGCAAGGTGGACTCGAGGCGATGAACGCAGCACCTCTATCGGACCGGACTCCATCGACGACATTGAACTCTCTATCGTATAGATATGTACATTGAACTGGATGTCCCGGTTTGGAGGAACGCCCTCTGCGAGTCGTGTGCGAAATAAGAAAACCCTAAAAGAAGTTTGGAGCCTGCTGTTCACCTACTATTATACGTATACATACATATATACATATATACATATATACATATATATATATATATGATTATCGAGAGAATGTGTACGTGCGCGCGAATTACTTTTGGGCGAGGATAATTTTTGGTACTTTTAAGACTCGAGCTCAGAATTTATCACACACCGACGGACATTCTAACTTGTACATTAACCAGCATTAACCAACAATTCCGCATTATTTCGAATTATTTTATATTAGGAATGAAACTTCAATGCCAATAAATCTAATTTATTGTCCAAGTACGAAAATAAGATGATAGAACGGCCTTGTCATCGGTATGAGTCGGCCGAGGCAATGATAAAATGCTGTCCGCTTCGATAATTATCATCAGGTCATTGGTAATTTACGTTGCGCTGAGCTCGATTCTTAACGGCAAGTTCCATCGGTCGGCTATTAAATAGCTCTCGATTGTGCTTCGTAGCCGCGGGCTTAATTTTTATTCTCTTACCGCTACTTCAAAGTAAGACTTTTATTTTCCGCATGCGAGTTAAAGGCAAGGAAACTGTAATTGCCCTGGCTAGAAGATTCCTCGTGAAATAATAAATGAGGTAACAAAACTTAATTAAAATCGAGAACGAAGAATCTAGGAGTTTTAAATTTTTAATTGCAAACTCCAATAGTTGGTGCGCACTTGATTTTGACGAAGTTTGATTAAAAAATTTTGCAGTCAAATTAAATAAATTCGAGCGATAATCCGCAACAATGTGCCATCTCGTTTTTTCTCAAACAAAAACGAGAGAATAATAAGTGATAAAGCTGAAAAGGAGGACACAAATTTAAGAAAGAATAAATAACACACGTGTAAGATGCTGTTTTAAATGGAATCTTCGGTCAAGGGTCATCCTTGGCCTGACTGGATGAAACATAAGCAAACAAAAACAAAGAAACAAAAAAAAAAAAAAAAAAAAAAAAAAAAAAAAAAGAAATAAAGAAACAAACAGAAACAAACAAACAAAATATGAAACTAAAAATGGAGCTGCGCGTGCCTTTGCGAAATGAAAAACATAGATTATTCCTCGAGCACCGTCGCATAATAATTTTAAATCCCACGACAAATATATAAATATGATACTAATGTAACATTAAACGCATAAGAATTTTTAAGAATTTAACAACAATGCTAGACGTTGCTAGACGAATGATTAATGCAAAAAGATCTAAACAGTTTGAACGAACGGCAGCCTCCAAACGCGACCAATTCAAAGCCTTTTTCTTTTTCTTTATCATTTTAACGAAGCGGAAGAAACAGAAAAGTGTTATTGCCTGTAAATAATATCAGGGTATTATTAACATAAACTACACTTTTGTTTTTCACCATCAATCAATGAAAGTGGTGTGCTCACACAGAGACTTGACAAGAAGAAAATAAAATTTATCGCGAGCAGTGTAAAGCAACGTGAGTGAGTGACAAAGTTTTTTTCGTACTCTCGACTCTGTGACTGGATGTACATGAATGTATATAGTAATTTAAATATTGTATAGATAACGCTGTTTTTAAGAAAACGGATATATAAAGAAACGAGAAGAGCTAGGAAATTATTTTGAATTTCAATCGAAGAATTCTGTAAGAAATTTCGCTGTACTTATATTGCACGTGGAACGATGAGATGAGTATCTTTTAATCGCGTATTTCTTCAATTTGACTTACGACCGATCATTTATTCGTCTTTCCAACTAATATTATTCTAATTAATTGTTTGGAAATAACCTGCAACGACCTCCGTAATATTTTAATTCAATTTTAACGACGAAATTGATTATATATATATATATATATATATATATATATATATATATATACGTGTTATCACAGAACACGCATGAAATGCTGTTCCCCCCGCCCACTATTTATTATAATTAAGAACTGGAGTTCTATATTTTATCCCACAAGTGAATAATTTATTGTTTACATGATATTGAACGTAACTAAATATTTGGTGGCAAATTATTAACCTTAACCTTTAAACAAAGTAAGAGCTAAGCCTACTGTAAAACGCAGTGGTGTTGGAGAAACTTTAAAAAGAAAAAAAAAGAAAAAAGAAAAAAAAACCTTTTCTTCGAACAAAACGTATATAGCAATTCACTATTCTGTCATGTATATTATGAGCCATATTTGAAAGAAATGGAAAAGCAGCAGCAGCAGCAGCAGGACCAGCACCAGCAGCAACAACAACAAATCTTTTGTATCTTGTAAATATCGAAAAACTGTTACTATACTGCTCATTGTATACCGAAACTTCATTTTTCAATGTAAATTTCCTATTGATAGGATCGCAGAGAAAGTGTACAGGTCAATTTATAACAGCGATATTCTTTTAATGTTTATCATTTTCTCGTCGTTGGCAAGCTCAATAATGTTAATTCACAATTATAAGAGAAAACATACACCTTAGGTGTCGGTGGCAACGAAATTATTTATAGATGTAAATAAGATATAGATGTTTATTAAGGATAATGAAGGAAATTAAAAGGAATATAAAGTATACACAGAACCTACATTTAAAGCCAAAAGCGTGTGACGCTTTCTCCGTATCGGAGACTTTAACTAAAAAACTTTAACTCGAATTTTTCTGCGGTTTTTCACCCACTAGTGGTAATTTCACGGTACTGTATATCGTTTGCAAGAAACGAAAACAAAAAAATAAATAAATAAATAAAAAAAGACAAAAAATAGGAAAAAAACAACAACAGCAACAACAACAACAAAACGCTGAAAAATTCAAATATGTGTTACGCGAAAGTTGTAAAACAAAACGATTAATTTTTTTTAGAAGTAAGACGTAAAAGATATATATCGTGAATTTGGTTGAGGAGTCAGGGAACTTTCTAAGGGAGAAAAAGAAAAAAAAACCGTGTAAAAAGATAATAAACGTGTAAAGTATTGGAAGGTGGCTATTTCTATCCGACTATAATGATTTAAAAAACAAAACACACATGCGCCCGCGTGCGTATGGTTGTGCGCGTGTGGGGATGTGTGTGCTTTTGTGGGTGTGTGTGTGTGTGTGTGTGTGGGTGTGCGTGTGCGCGTGCGTGAGTGCGTGTGTGTGTGTGCTTGTGCGCGTGCATGCGTAAAAATATATGTATATATGTGTATATGCATGCATATGTATATCCATACGTGCATGTATGAATATATTTATTTATTTATTTATAACGCATATGCATATATATAGATATATTTTTCGTTTATCACTGTGATGAATACATAATAAATACACGAGTAACGTAAAAGTTAAGACGATTTGAGTGTTGTTTTTCTTGCCACTGTATTATAAATCAAATATCCATCGAGCACAAGAGATTCGGCGGGGCTTTAAAGTTGAATAAAACTAAATTGGTGAATGCGCGGATAAGTGTTGTGGTGAAAGTGTTGAGAAAGTATATGTGATGTAAATGATAAAATAAACAAAAATATGTGCGCATGAGCCTCTTGCTTTGTCTACCTAAATACTCTCGATCTAATCTACTTAACCTACGAGGTTACGCATCATAGTTACTGTATTGCAATGATGAATAATGCGAAATGGACACTTGAAGCTGATGTCTAGTAACGAACAGATTTTGATAGGAAGTAACTTCGTATCGAGTGAAGGTTATTGTAAACTATGATTTTTCAATAGACAAAAGATCTAAGCAGAAGGTCTAAGTGATTTAATACAATGCGTGGTGAGTCTCCGCGCTCAGATACTATTTTAATCAATAATCTGTTTCTTCTACATATTAGCTGCTAAGTGCTCGCCCGAATAATAAAATTACAACACGGTACCAATGTAATGTAAATGACGGTCCTCTCGCTGACTGTCGCAGTATGAGAGTTAGCATCATGTGTAATGTTCATTATTATATTTTGAATACGAAATATACATAATTAAAACTGACAGTGTCGACTAATTTATTGCCTCAATAACATTTTCGAGTGAGCTCCATATATATATATATATATATATATATATGTTCCATAAGCAGTTCAAGCTATCTCCCTTAGTCCCCGTTTTACAATTTAATGGACAATCTATGCATGATTAACAATTTACTATACCAATTTTCAGCTTATATCATAAAAACCTCACATTATTATATAATTCCTTTCCATCTAGAGCACAATTTATATTTCACACAAGCCACGCTTATATCAATCTACGGTCATTTCAAATACACTCGTACGGAAAGGAGGCATTGCTTCGTTTCTAATACAAAGGTAAAGTATAGATGTACAAGGACACCAAGGAGCGTCGTAGCCGTAGCCGACTAACTCTCCATCAAAAGCCCAATCTAATAATTATCTCCCGCTAGTTTAATAGTGTGACACGTGCGACTGACCGAGGCGAATGGCAAAGTTAAGCAGTGAGCAACTTGGACGGCGATGACCGACCGCTCGCTTCGGCATCCTAGCTAACAAAACACACGTGCCTGTGAAAGTCTCGTAGCACATATGTTCGCTCGCACGAGGAAAAGAGATAGAGACAGAGAGAGAGAGAGAGAGAGACAAAGAGAGAGAGAGAGAGAGAGAGAGAGAGAGAGAGCGTATGCATTCGTATGTCTTGCCAGCAATACAATGACTAACGGTCCCAATCATTTGAGATTTTTAAGTATATGGGCAGTTCCGTTGGTCATGCTGATTAACTCGTGGCAAGGAACTACGCTGCCCGAGTTATATCTTAAAATTAGAGTCCAGAAATTAAAAATAAATAACCGCTTTAATGTTTGTCCGCGTATAACCCTAGCCAAATACCAATGAGATATCAATTTTATAATTATAATTAGAAATTATTTCAATATACAATTGTCGTAATTAATAATTCCTTTAATAACAATATCGCTCGGTAGGTTGCTAATACACCTTCATGCATTTCAACATGAATTCCCTGCAAAATATGGCATTTTAAGATTAAGAAAGCTTGAACATAATTTGAGAAAA